TCCGATGGTAGTTCAATTCCCTTCGAGTTATCCCTGGACCTCTTCAGATTCCCTCTTCTAGTATAGAATAATGTAGGTTTATCATATCTGACAAAAAAAAAAAAGAGGCCGAAGGTCCATGTGCGTGTGTGTGTGTTTTTTTTATAATAACAATTTACAAACTAACCTAAAAATCATGAAATTTACAACTCAAAAATATCACGAATGAAACGTGTGAACAGAAACGAATACTGGGAGTTGAATCCACATTGGCTAGTTAAAAATGTAGTAAAATAAGTTGAGAGAGAGAGTTTTTTTTTTTTTCAAAAATATTTGGAGGTGTAGGCCTAGCAGAAACAGGGGGAGACAGAAGGCAACAGGACAGCAACCGTTTGGGAGGGGGGAGATTCCGCGCGAAAACGGAATAGCATCTGCGCATCCCTTTTTCCAGGAGGCAGCAGTCACTAATAACTTGGTAGTGGTGGCGAATAAAGAGAAGCGTAGGAGGGGGGAGTACTTTGGGGGAGGGAAAAGAAAAGAATAAGAGTTGTCCTGACTCTTCAGCTAAGCCCGTTTTCTTTCTCCATCATTCACGCCCCCTCCCATCATCTTTATATGTATATATATCTCTCTCTCTCAATGTACTCACAGATACTACTGTAGAGGAGTATATAAAAACAAAGGGAGGGAGGGAGGGAGGTGTAATGGCTCGTGAGCTTTGCACTTTGCTTTTAAGCCTTTTGTACTGCTACTAGTAGTATATTTCCATCTCTTTCTCTCTCTCTCTCTCTCATTGAATACACGCATTTCATTTGTTACTGTTACATATAAATTGCAGTAGTAGTATATTCGTATAGGCACGCAAATACATGTACATGTGGGCGTCAGAAGAAGAAGAAGAAGAAGAAGGCTTCTTTTAGAGAGAGAAACAGAAAGATTCTCGACTTGAAGAAGAAGAGCAGGAATGGCCTCCACCGGACTCAGCAGTAGTAATAGCAGTAGCAGCAGCTACGATCTGTCATTTAAGATCTTGTTGATCGGAGACTCCGGAGTCGGCAAAAGCAGCCTTCTCGTCACTTTCATCTCGAATTCTGTTGAAGATCTTTCCCCTACCATCGGTAACCTTTACTCTTTGCTTCTTTCTTTTCTATTTCCATTTCTATATGCTTGTATGCCCCCTCCACAATTCTCTGCGTACATGATACGGGTACACCTCTATCTAATGCTATGTATCGATCGTACTTCGAATGAAGAAATTTAAAAATGCGGATTATATGCATTACTGCACATTTTTATGATAATTATTGTGTAGTGTTTTACTGAGTGATCTCATCTTTAAAGCACAATGATTTTGATGCCAGATTTCAATTTTACTGTTACAAGTAGCGTCTCCTGTTCTGCTCTATGATTTTGACTGAACTAATTTGTCGTCTCCAATCATCCATTGCACTTATTGCAATTCATTAGTCACTGTTTAATTAGCAAAATTTTGGTTGTCAAATCGGTTTTTAAGAGCCAGGGGGCGCACATTAATTGGATCAATATGGAGATTTCTCGGCGGCAAGTTTTCATCACATGTTAGTATAGATTTTTCTATGTAGACTGTATGCCAGAGAGTGATTGTTTTAGTTTGAACTTTCCTCCTCTTGGTGAAATCCTTAGAATCTGCACTTTGTTTGGCTACAATTACATGACTGGTCGATACACCAGCACTTTTTTTTTTTTTTTTTAATGTATCCTATCGGACAACAAGGATTCTCCCTCCAATATAGAGTTGAATCTGTGAGCCAGCTTAATCTGCATCTGCTAACCAACGATTTTGTGCCTCATTCCAGGTGTGGATTTTAAGATCAAGCTGCTCACTGTTGGTGGGAAGAAGTTGAAGCTTACAATTTGGGATACCGGTAAGCAGATCCTATCATTTATAGTTATGCTAACTGTTTATGGCAGCTTTCCGAATTCTCTTTATGAAGTTCTTTTGTGCAAATATTATGATACACCTTTACTTTTATTTGTTTTTTTTTTCTATCATAGGTTCAAGTGGTTAATCTCTTTGGACATAGAACTAGCTGTAATTTCACAAAATAGAGCAGGACAATTTGCGCTTTACCTAGTACAAGTCAAATGTTTGTACTTTCTCTACTGTTCTCAACATGCTGTGCCATCCTAATTAACATTTTCCCCAGAAGTTGTTATTATATGTAAATCTTCTTATCTGTCAGAAGGTCTTGTCTTGCCATCACAGCTGATCATGCAACTTCTTCCTCCTTAAGATTAGAAACCGACAATCAGTACTACTTCACCATGATCAGACCCAATTTGGGTTTGTATTCCTCTTTTTCCTAGTGCTGCTAATGGCAATTTATTGTTGGGATCCTTGATTCATGACTTAAAATAAGCTTAGCCTCCTTTTTCATAAATAATCCAAGCTACTACTTTCTGATGATAGTGCGCCCCTCTTGCTATTTGTTTCCACTGTCCTACTACTGCATATTTTGTTCTCCGTGATCTGATGGGGCTCATGACACCTTTTGCAGCTGGACAAGAGAGGTTCAGGACTTTGACAAGCTCATACTACAGAGGTGCTCAAGGGATCGTTCTTGGTATGTCATGGATAGATCACTATAGATTCTTTCATATTTATGAAGCCTTTTTGTCATCCTGCAAAATAAGTAATTCTTTTAAGACGTGATTGATAAGATGAGATTTTGTTTATTTAATTGCATTATCATTGTTCTCGGATTTCTGGTCAATTTATGGACTACTGTTGCTTAGAAAAACAGAATACACATAATCATTCTTTTAACTTTTGAGCATTGGCCATTTTTTAACATTGCTGAACTCTATGCAAAATTTGCTGTTTCTCTTGTCGGAGAATTTCTTTGATCCTTTTCCTTTTGCAACATGGTTGGTAAGGTTCCTTCATGCATATTTCTTTGTTTGCTTTAAGACCAGACTGCTGCCATCCCAGGCCACAGTCCAGAGTTTTTCATTTTGTGGGAGACTCTTCCCAGTTGAGTAATATGAAGTTGTCCATAGTAGGCATTGTCTATGCAGTCAGTTGGAATTCTGCCCAAAATATTGTACGGTACTGTGAACCTTTAGGTTTTTATAGTACTGTTTCACTAAGATGATCATCTATATGTGCCCTTGGCACTTCCTTTTTGTAAAGGAAAGCACTTGTAACCTTTTTTAGAGCTTGAAATTAAACGAAGCTACGAGTCCTAAATCATATGAGCATGATAGGACCAGTATATTTGTTGAAACTGAAATTTTTGTACAAATAATTTCCAGTTCGAGCATTGTCAATCTGTTTTGGAGAAGTGTCATGCAATTATTGATGAACCTTTTTAGTACATGAACAAATATTGCCGTATAGCTTTTAAATGTCTGCAATTTCATTCTGATTGACGTACTTTGTTTTGTCATGTTTAGTTTATGATGTGACAAGGAGGGAAACCTTTACAGACTTGTCTGATATATGGGCAAAAGAAGTCGAACTTTATTCTACTAATCAGGATTGTGTCAAGATGCTTGTTGGTAACAAAGTTGACAAGGTAAGCTAATAAATCCATAAATTGTTTTTGGCTAGCTTTCTCCGTTCATTCAAGCTCCATGTCTTTCTTTGTCAAGAAAGAATGAAGCATGGTCGCTTATTTAGATTTGATGTTATAGGCAAGTTAACTTGAGCCCACTGTCACTGCTGATCCAACATCCTATTAGCTTCCCACCAAAAACACATCCTTGTTTTTTTCCCATATTTTTTCCCCTTTGGGGGAGGAAGGGGGGTGGGGCACCAGTTGAGCAGGTTTGATCAAGTAGTTTATAATGTCATAAAGATGGACTAGTGCTGCATTCAATGATTGTTCATCTTTATTTTCTGTAAATCTAAAAAAGTAAAAGTTAGCTAACTTGCATTGCTTTGCATTTTTAGGAGTCTGAAAGAGTTGTAAGCAAGGAAGAAGGAATGACCCTTGCAGAAGAGCTAGGGTCTTTATTTCTTGAATGCAGTGCCAGAACGCGAGAAAATGTGGAGCAATGCTTTGAAGAACTGGCTTTGAAGGTACAGAAATTCATCATTTTTGGATTCTGGATGTTGCACCCATAGTTTTGAACTCCAACACAAACCTGTTGCAAAGACACAAAACTCTGCGATGTGGATGATGCTAATTGATTTAGAGCTATATGCTATAAATTTGATGGTAATGTATCTATTATTTGTCGCGACCAAACTCAATAAATCAGGGTTAGGAAGGTAAAACTTATGTCATGTATCTTTCAAATTGATGTCAATCTACTAGTAAGTTTATTGGGAAACCTTAGCACGCCTATTGAAGTACTGAATTATTCTCCATTACAGTTCTACTAAGGTTGCTTATGAATTTTACCAACTACGGTACCTTATGTTTGAATAGCCCCACGATTCCCTTATGTGTTTACTTTATTTTTTACTTAACCCAGATTATGGAGGTGCCCAGTCTTTTGGAAGAAGGGTCTGCTGTAGGGAAGAGAAATATTTTAAAACAGAAACAAGTGCATCACACATCTGGTGGCAGTTGTTGCTCATAAAACACTGCAGATCTTGATTTGGAAGACTTATTAAGTGATCGCCCCAGAAGCAGAGCATTTCTTCGAAATGATGACCAGAATACGTATATGGTAGCCTTTGATTTCCTTAATGTTGCTGTTGTGCTTGAGTTGTCGCTGGTACATATGCTGGTGCTCTGGGATGTTGACGCCAATAACATCTATTAGCATGTGTAAATTTACTAGCATCTTTTGTTTTTTGGCTTATGTTTGTTAAGCGTCACTCAAAATTGTCAATGAAACAGAATTGCTTGTATTTATTCTGATCTAGATTCAACTTCTTACGCTGCTGCGCTGTGAATATAATTTAGCTGCCATACACCACTGAGGAACTCCGTGACGAGTATCACCTGCATGGTTTTTCAGCACATAATGCTGGCTGCATCAATTTAAAATGCACTAGGTGAATGCATGGAGTTTGTAAGACAAAAGCATTCTAACAAATATGCGTGTGGATTATAGTATTCAGTCTACCGTGCATAAATAAGGGAAGGAACGGAGACAATGACAGTGATCTACACTAACATATCACTCAAAACTGCGCAACATTGCCTTATTACTGCCTTCTCATAGTTTTTTACATCATAATTCATAATTGCAAAGAGTCAGCACGCACAACTCCGACTTTCAGCTGCAGCAAGCTGATTTTTGCGGTTCTGCAGTTGAGATCTTTACTGGGTCTGGTTTATTGATTTTGATGGTTGGGGGCTACAAGAAAGTAGGCGAGTCAGAGAATTGTATATGCCATAAGCCGTCAAAGATTCGGATTATAACAGCAGGATTTATGAGAATAGATGTCTACCTCTGCTCTGATTTCACTCTCAGTCTCAGCCAGCCTTTTCTTTATGTCTCGGGCAATCGAAAAGAATACTTCGTTCACGTTATGATTTGTTTTAGCACTCTGGTCAAGTCAAAAAAGTCCCATGAGTTTCAGCGTCCTCTAATACTAATAAAACATCACGGGGAAGTTAGCTTTGCTTTATTCAACACGAATACAGCAAATGCCTAAAATAAGCCATCATCACGAAATCTGTGTTAAAACACCAAAAAAATCTTTAGGTAGGGAGGGAGGAGTAGCTCGTGAGGGTCATAAACTCGTGGGCTCGTTTGTCTGCTCACCGTCTCAAAAAATTTAACGCCGTATTCATTGGCTAATGCCTGGCCTCGTGATGTTGGCACCGCCTGCCAAATGGAAATTAAATTCAGTTACATTTTGACCGGAGAGAAAGCAAGAGCAGCGGAACAATTACGTACTGATGACTAGTAAATCTTTACCCTTTTGCTCTCATCCATGTCAGCTTTATTTCCAACGAGAATGGTGTTCACACTGTCGGAAGCATGTTGTTCTATATTCCTAATCCAGTTTCTGATGTCTACAAAAAAATATGATGATTTCCATCCATCACAGCTTAAAGTTAAAACGAAAGAATCAAAGGATGGATGCGGTAAATCCTTTCTTTTTCAAACAACCAAAAAAAAAAGAGAAGTGGGAAGTGGGAACGAGAGATACTGTTGAACGACGATTCATCCGTAACATCATAGACCAGCAATATGCCCATGGCTCCTCTGTAATAAGCTACACAAGAGAGAAAATTAAAGTCCAAACGCAATGTCAGATGAGTTTGTACTCAAAATTTATGCATGACTGACTTCTTGCTTAATTAGTTTTCAGAAAAAGCAAGGAGCATATTTACATCCTCATACAACAAAAACTTAACATATAGATTTTGAAAAGAGAGCTAGCTAGTAGCTACCTGTGGTGATAGTTCTAAAACGTTCTTGACCAGCTGTATCCCATATTTGTAATTTAATGCGCTTTCCATCGAGCTCAATTGTCCTAATCTTAAGGTCAATGCTGAAAGAAACATCAGAGTTTCAGCGGGCTGGAACAGATTTAAGAATGTGCTATCGAGTTTAATCCATTCAAGGGCCATATTTTTTTTGTGGCACAGTACCCAATGGTGGAGATAAAACTCGTTGTAAATGAATCTTCACAGAACCTCAATAGAATGCAACTCTTTCCAACTCCTGAAGCCAAGATACGTACGTCAGTGTACCGGAAAAGTTGAAAGACGGAACAGGGAAAAGGTGATTGGGGTTGCAGGGCTCTAATGATATACGGTAGTCTCCATCTTCATATCAAGGTGGTGCGATGGGAGACAAAGCAGCGCACCGTTACTCTTTTCTAAGACCATCTCGAATTGAATTGAGACTCCCCGAGTGAAAGACTACTTAAAAGAGAGCACGAGGGATCATCAGTGACCGGGAGGAAACTCTCCCACCAGGATTCTATGTTCGAGGGCAATTTCGAATGTCAAAATCAAGCTTACGGTAAAAATTCCCTATTTTGTTAGAAAAATCCGAGAAGGATGTGACGGAGAAAAAGGAAAAAGGTGATTCGGGTGAACCTCTGAGGCTTCTAGTGGAAAAGAATAACAAGCACCCTTCTGATGTAAAAACAAGAAAGCTACAAACAACTAACGCAGCATGTCAAATTTAGTACCATTATCAAGTCAGCGACCGCATGCTTTTTGACACGAATGACGAAACGAGGTTTTTTTTTTTTTTTTTGTAATTATTATTATTATAAAAGCAGCACCTCTCCGAAGTCCTAAGCTCGATAAGATTTGTTTTATGTTCATGAAGAGAGAGAGAGAGAGAGAGAGAGAGAGAGAGAGAGAGAGAGGAAAAGAGGAAGACTTGCCGCTGTCGCCAATGAGGAGGAGCTTGACGAGGCACTCATAGTCAGCTCGTGCTCTAGTAGGAGTGGCTGCCATTTTCTTCTTGAGGCCGTTTGTGAACCTCCTCTATCTATGGTTCTCGAGAGTAGCTGGTTTTGTAACTGGTCTTTAGTCGTGTACTAGGTACTAGTTTAGTGAAAGACAAATGGAAAGAATTGACAAAAGAAACAGTACAAATAGTTAGAGAAGAGGTCATCTACATTACGATACAGGGTAACGAAATTGATTCTTTTGGAGCAGAGCAGACTGACGTTCAGGTTTCTTCTTCTTGAATTATTTGCTCTTCTTTTATCGGATGACCGGGCATCCATCCTATTTCATAATTGACCGTTAGGCCCACCCACCCGGGCGGCTCCCTCAGCTCCCACCTTTCCTATGGTAATTTTTTTTTTTTATTTGGCAAATATAAACTAATATTAATTTGATATATATTAAGTCGAACAGGGAGCTGCTGTAATGGCAGATTGATAGTAGAATGCTGATGTATTGCTCGGGGAAAGTTATGGCTTGAGCCATTTGCGCTAATCCATATACATTCATATGCAGATGGCCGAGGATAAAGGGTTTGGGTGTCTATTGAATACTCGTTAAAATATATTTTTGATATTATATTTTTAAAAATATAAAATTGATTAACAAAAGTAAATAAATATAAAAGAGTGTATGTAAGATTAAACAGAAAAAGAATGTAAATGCAAATGTAGATGATAATTATTCGCATATGTATATATATATATGTGTGTGTGCGTATATATGATAGATTAGATAAATTTTATGCGTGTTAACAAGTGTCCAGTGAGCATTCATCGGGAAAACCAAGGATAAATACTTCCTTGACTAGGATATAGAGGCATTTGGCCAGGATCGTATGTTCAATGGCTAAATTGAAGGACGGAAGCCAAATATATCCTTCCAATCAAATTGAAAATATTTGTCGGTGACATTTACAATGAATGCAGCTATATGCATAAAAACTGTCTAGGCTAAATAGAGGTGAATGGCCGTTGAAGAAATAAGAGGAGACGATAACTGACCGTTTATATAGTAACATTCTATAGGCATCCGAGTCTGTGGTGTTTAATTCTTATAAGATGTCTTTGCATTTGGCATCTCATACATGATTATGAATAGACAAGTTTCAACAGGACACGAGTATTCGCCTGTGCTGTAACTGTTTCATGGCCATGTTGGAGTATCAAACAGGCAATTGGTCACAATTTTAGGACAGTATTTTAGGACCACTACTGTGCTATCAAGCATCATACTCCATGTTATTCTTATCAACTGTCAAGGACTATGAGAAGAAATTACGCACAATATCTCCTCAGTTCTAGGGGTGTAATCGAACAGCGCTCCTGGCAAGTAGCTTGGTCAAAATAGAGTGCGAGTCGAGCACGAGTAATTCGATAATTATTCAAGTTGAGTTCAAATACTAAGGTTGTGTTTGGATTGCATTTTCCGTCATTTTTCATGGAAAAATTACTGTAGAGATTTGATATATGTGAGGGAAAAATGTGATAGGGAAATGTGATCACGGAAAACGACAATATTTTTCGACGGAAACAAGCAATCCAAACAAGGCCTAATTTTTCAAGTTCGATGGCTGATTGGAACTTATCGAGCACAAAGTAATTAATTAAAAATTATATATTTAATTATTACAATTTTAGTCTTTTAGACTTGAGAGTTATGTAAATTACTAGAATTACTCTCTTAGTTGAGTCAAATGCTCGAGTTCGATTATACTAGCAAGAAAATTAAACATAATCAAATCGATCTCGAGTTTTTGAACCATTGTTCGAGTTCGAATTCCTTTTTTGCTGCTCATTTGAATTCAAGTATAACGATACTCAACACTGATTCGACTCGATTACATCCCTACCCCTCACCCAACAAAGTAGATGCCCTCTCAGACATCTGAGATGAAGGCAGCAAGTCAAAAGGAGCTGCAGAATGTCGAGGCTAAAGTATTATCAAGTAAAATCAGCAGCAACGCCCCACTAGACACTGGAAATGATGCAGAAGATCCGCAAACCATTGGAACATATCCCATGAATGCACCATATGCTAATAGACCGGCATCAGTTCCCCTTGTGACACCTAACAGTGCTGAGACATGCCAATATATACTTTAGTCCCTAACAAATCTTTTAATTGAGTCTAATCGCTAGCTTGGATCATATATTAATTGGCTTAACCAACCAGGTACAATGACATTCAAACTTTGACTGGAGGAAGCACAGAGGGTCTCAGCATTTGCCACGAAGCAGGGCATGACAAGTCAATTACATATTGAACATATCAACAACATACTCAGCAGGAACGAGGGGGATGAATTCTTCTCTTGATATTAAGTCAATTTCAAGAAGATAAACTCTGTAACAATAATGCTAACCTACAGAATCATCCCCTCAAGCGTGGATACAGAATATATCTCGATTACAAACCACGAGCATTTCACAATTTCCCGACAGGTCAGGATATCAACCTATATATCCTAATTTACTACTAAAGCAGTTACCAAAGCATAAGCAAAATCATGACTGAAAATCCTAATGGCCAGCCATGGCACTGGCAGCCTCTTCCAAAATTCTCCTAGCTTCCGTGTCGGGGTCAGCAAGTTCACGTGGAGTCTGCCAAAATATGCATTAGTATTGGCCTAAGTATGAGCAATAACACCAAAATAAGTAATCGAAAATAAGCTTTACCTTTCCATAGACATTTTCCCTATTAGGAGACGCCCCAGAGGCCAGCAACAACCTAATAGCCTCCATGTGCTCACCTCTGGCAGCATGATGAAGGGGCTAGAGATGAGTAGCAAGAGAAGTCATTAGCAAAATAAGGATTGTTTAGATTGTACAAATTATAGCTACTACTTCCCTCAATTAAAAATGCTACAAGCCAACCCAAAAGCAGAAAAACTTAGAAGAACCTACAATCACTTCTCACCGTATCACCATCCAGGTCAACAGATTCCAGCATTCTCTTAACACATTCCGGACTATTACCACTGTTGAGTAGAAGCTGGACTATATCTGTATATCCTGCATACAGTCATCTTCCCTAAGCAAAATCAGTAAAATTTGCAATAAAAACTGAACGTAAGTACCATGAAAGTCCTGGACTACCTCCTGCACAAGCATCATGAAGGGGAAGTGCTCCATCTTCATCCTTCACCTCCAAGTTAGCTCCTCTCTCCAACAAGAGCTGTGAAATGATCAGATAGTAAACAGTTCTTAGATTTTGATCCCCCAATAGCATTAATAATACTTGTTGATCGAGAAACTTCTCAGGGTGCAAACAAGTGAAGCCCCTGTGTGAACTACTTAAAATAAACCACTCAGGTTAAATTAAACGGAATTCTTTTGAATTTCAAGGAATTTCAAGTCAACCTCAAGCTCCAGGATACACTACTCAGCACACTACATGCTTGAGTAGAGCATCATTATTCTAGTGTTCATCACTAGTTCCACTAACAAATATTTCAACTTTGGTATCTATTTGATTTGTACGGAAAAAATAAACGTAATCTTTACGAGGATTGTGTAAAGGTCTAATATGGCCTGACTTTGGCTTAAGACTTAAGATTGTATTGGCTTTGCAGTTGAGTTCAGCCAAGTCAAGTGGGAGTATAGCTATTATCTAACTGAGGTGGGGCAAAGCTGCGGTTTCAAGGCTCAATTGAGCACGAGCTTCAAGGAACCATGACAGAAGGTAATAAAACTATTATCAAACATATTCCAAGGTAAAGTAGAGAAATTCTACCAAAGAAAATGACTATAAACGAACCTGGACACAAGGCAAATGGCCATACAAACAGGTAAGATGAAGGGCAGTATCCCCATCCTCCACAGGTTCATCAATACTTCCAATGAAATTATCTGTATTAGCCATGAAAGAGGAGACAGACACACAGTAAAAAATAAGCCCATGACGTATCTAAACAATAAAGTAACGAGCAACTCTGTTATGCCCTCCTCTAAAGTAATTACACAAGAAAAGTGGACATATGAGATAATTAACCTAGGGCCAAACGGAGGTCCTCGACGTTGCCACGCTCCGCCGCCGTGGCTAGGTCACGGAGGTGAGGCGGGGTGTCGGAGTAGGAGACGTCTCCCAGGAACTCGAGCTGTTCGTCAAAAAGTATTCCCTCTTCTCCTTCTTCTTCATCCTCCATGCCGTTCCGCCTTCCTGCTACCGCCATCTCTCTCTCTCTCTCTCTAGCCGTCCGTCTGTTGCGCAAACACTCGAAACAACTGAAATCCTTGAAACTTTTTGTTTTAAGTACTGAAATTGCTTACAAAAAAATTTTTGGACCAAGATCCAAATAATAGGTAGATTTGCATTTGGGCCAACAGCTCCCTCAGCTTTCGGCATTTGGTGTACTTTAATTGGACAAATCACATCTAGAAACCTTTCTAGTCTACTCTGTTTCCATCCAGATGGGCCAACTAGGACCCAATAAAAAGCAACGCTGCATTAAAAATTAGCTACCCATTGGTTCAGTTTTTAGCAAAATAAATACACACTGCTCCGTATCGAAACAAGGCATGTCTTTAGAATTTTAGCAATGTCAAAATAAGTTATTTGAATGGATGATAACTAAGATATTAGGTATATCGAGTCAACTTATTTATATTTATTTAATAAATGAGTCAAATGTGCGAGTTATAAATGGATATATGCTTTAAATGGGTATGGATATATCTAATTATCCAATTATATCCCGCTAAATATTCCATTTATTATCGAATTTTTGTTGCTATTGGGTTGGTAAGGCATTCTGATGCGACTGCCAAAAACGCGATCCGAGTTGAGCTGCTGCGACTGAGCGAGCTAGTCAAGGACGAGCTGATGGGAGGAAAACGAGCAAACCGAGCTCAGTCTTGGAACGCGATCCGAGCTAAGCTGGTGCAAGCTGAGAGGGAGCTAGCTGATGCGCAGGTAAGGTGAGCGAACCGACTTGCAAAGGGACAAACGGTGGGGCTAGTTTCCGGAGCAACTCCGACGGTTAAGTTAGTAGAACTTATGAGTATGTAACAGTATAGAGTATTGTAGATGGCGTACCTTGTGTTGTCTTGTGGTGCTATATTTATAGACTTGTGGATAGTAGTTTCCTTATAGGATTAAGAGTCCGACTGGGGAGGGAGTCCTTTTAGGGCTCCATCGGCTAGCTCCGAAAGGTTCGGAGGCCGCGGCCCACCAGACCCATCTAGCGGGGAAGCGGCAGCCATGCGCGAGCTGGCATCCCTCCTATC